TTTTTTGAAATCTAGTATTAGTAAAATGACTGTAGTAGTGATCGTAATCGCAGTTGAATAGCAGTAATATCAGCATCTGCAATGGCAATGACAATGACAATGACAATGACAATGACAATGACAAAAATGATAATGATAACAATGAAAACGAATAATAAATCAATGATAAGCAGTGATGCAACTCGTTTAGATACCACAGAAACAAAGAGCTCGAGAGAACGAAATCCAGTCACCATTTAGCGTGCAATATTGATTATGCGTTGATCAAAAGTAGTTCAGTGAATAAACGACTGCAAGAATTAAATCGCTCACTGAAAGATACCTGCTAAAGTGTATCAAAAGGTTAATATGGCAACCATTTCCACTTTGAACTGGACAGCTCTTAAGAAGCAAAAGTCAGAAGCGATTACATTTACGAGTAATGTGCAGTGATAAAATCTGCAACAGCGATATAGGCGGAAAGAAATGCTAAGTGTAAAAGTGAGTTCTCAATATTGTTAAAGAGTTTTGTTTGCTCAGAGTTCGGTGCACTCCAACGGTACCGGTACCCGTACCGGTACCGGTATTGAGGAGTCAATACAAATTTAAGAACTTCAGGCATTTAGATCTGCAATTCTTTCTTACCATTGAAATCATACTACAATTTTGTCAAACACCACCCATTTCAAATGAATCAAAGATCAACTTTGATTAAAGAAATTACCACTTTCACCCAAGTACCACTGCTAATTTGAAACATCCGTGTTTCACGCACACGTTTAATAGGCCGCGTTTTTTATTTTGACAACAAGTTTTCGGCATTGAAAGTCTTTCCATCCCTACCACAACGTGTAGATTGCTTTGCTCCTTAATAGCGGTCAGGAGAAAATATTTATGGTTTCTACAAATATTTATTGGTTTCTGCCCATAAGTATTTTCTTTTGTGTTTTGTCTTTTGCCATTTGCTCGAAAGATAATATATTCACTTTCTTACATGTATTATATTACATATCTGTTTATGAAGTGCCAATACACTCACGAAAATGGATATGTTATTCATTGAATCAACGATCTATACAAATTTCCTGTTTCTATAATGTATAATATTTCAGGAAGACTGCAGGTTACTTTGTTTGTAGATTTTTTAAGAGCCGTTTTTAAAGGAATTTAAAACGATAGAATCGTTTGTCAGTGTCAAATTATCATTTAGTCGGCAGTATGGCCGACCATAATGTTGCTGAAAATAGTGATGATCAGGTATTCTGTGAATTATCAGCTGATGAAAAAGATGCTGCACCAATCGAGATAGAATCATTATGCGTGAAATGCGAAGAAAATGTTAGTTTTAATTAATGCATAGATATATTTCATACTTATTTTTGCTCTGCTCAGAATTTTATGCATAAATATCTTCTTTATAAAAAGTGTATTCCATCACAAAATCATTTTAAAACCAAGGCAGAAATTCCAATATCAAGGTCATGTTTATCTGTATTTTAAAATACTTTATTGGTTTTTGTTCATGACTTCTTATCATTAATGGGGTAAGATCCGAAAAAAGTTAAAAGCCTAAGAGTGAGGTCTGTTTTGTTCTTTCCTGCAAACTGCAAATCTTTTTTGCTTTTCTTCATTTACTGATGATAAAATTACAACGGATGAAATTAGTAATGTGTATGCATTTGTTTTCACCGTTAACTGTGTATTTTCTCTTCCTATATTTTACTTTCAGTTAATTGATGAAAGTCATTGAAATTATTTCAGCTAGTACTGATTAATTAGTAATATAGTTAAAACTGCTAATACTATATTTGTATGTCTTGATAAAGCAAATTTTGTTCTGTTAGATACACTCTGCAAGGATATGTAGGAATTTAGCATATAAGAACGCGGGAGCTATCATCGTTATATCAAATCAAAAGGACTTTGAATATCACTTGTTGATGGCAAAAAACTTGTAGTGTTTTGATTAATATTATTTTCTTAATTGCAGGGTATCACGCGAATACTTTGTACCAGAATACCATTTTATCGACAAGTAATTGTGATGTCTTTCTATTGTAATCACTGTGGCTATACCAATAATGAACTTCAGAGTGGGGAAGCGGCACAGGTAAATTAACTTAGAAATTAAATTTAAATTACAAAAATTTTGGAGCTCCTTTTCATTTCAATGTTTGTTTTCGGCAGTTAGTCTTCACCAAAAATAAGTGCTACTGTACATCTTATTTGCGGTAGATAACTTGTTTGAACCGTCATAGATTATTTCTCAGATACTGGAAATCGTAAATTTGTTTTTTTATTGTTTCTGTGCAAACACGAGTGCCGTCTAAACTTTTGGTAGTTACTTATGTAATGGTAATGAAATCTCCGCCACCATATAATATTTACATATGATTTTTCAATCTGTATTCCTAGAGTGTTGTAATATATTTATTAATTGCATATTTAATTTGCAGGAACATGGTATTGACATTACACTGCATGTAAATAATTTGTCGGATTTGAATCGGATGGTTGTAAAGTCAGAATATGCCGAAGTTGAAATTAAAGAGTTGGAATTGAACATTCCACCAAAATCACAAAGCGGAGGTTCAATATTTCTGACGTATCTTTTAATCAGTTCTCTTCACTTTTTCAAAGTAAAATGTGATGTTTCATTCCGTTGATAAGAATGATTTTTGTCGTCAATCTATTTCCTCTCTGTACTTTTTTAGAAGTAACAACTGTAGAAGGGATTGTTCGTCGTGTAATTACTGGTCTAAGTCAGGACCAAGATAGAAGACGTCAGTTTGATCCCGAAAATGCAGAAAAAATCAGTGAATTTTTAAAACGAATGGAACGATTAGAAAAACTGGAAGAGAAATTCACTTTAGTATGTCTCAATTTCAAGCGTTTTTTGGGAAAATTTTAGCTTCGTGTACTGGGAGTGTTATCCGTTATAAAAAGTAGATGAAGATTAGCGGCTTAGAAGAGATTTTATTTTTTGAAAAATTTCAAAAAGCTTTTGTTAGCTATAAATTTATTTCAGAGAATAAGGGATGTGTCTGGTAATAGTTTCATTCAAAATTCTAATCTACATCGTTTGGATAATCAGTGTATTGTCACACGTTTTAGACGAAGTATTGCAGATGAAAAGCTCCTTGGACTAGTGGATGACAATGAAAATGAAGTAAACTATCTATTTACTCTTTTAAGATCTTGATGTAAGAATATAATAAGCGTATTTTTCATATTTAATTTTAATTTTTCAGGAAGTATCCTTTCCATTCCACTCATATGATGATGTCAAGAATGAAGTATTGAGGTTTGATACCAATTGTCCTAATTGTGGTTTCCGGACACAAACGTGCATGAAACCGACAGGTATAATTTATTTGATCATTAAAGTAGGATTGTTATTAAAACTGAACATTCTACTTATATGTGTTTCACTTTTTTTAAATCTGTAACTTTTCTAAAATAGTTCTAGCAAAAGTTTAATGGTTTATAGATATCCCATATTTCACAACAGTTATTTTAATGTCCACAGTTTGTGATGCCTGCGGTTGGAAATCGAACGAAGTAAAGGATGGTGGTGCCATACAGGAATATGGTTGCAAGTTGACAGTTTTCATTGAGAAGGTATGTCTTAGAAATTTATTATATCCATACTGATTCAATTTCTAGATTATCTTTTTGACTCATTTAATAATTCTTTGGTGCACTTTCTCATTTCATTTTTTCACCTTCACCAAAGCAGCAAAGATGAACTTAAACCTTCTGACCGAAAAAGGTAAAATTGTAGGAAGTTGACCTTACACGAGATGTTTTGAAATCAAGTGCATGTTGCATGGTTATCCCTGAACTTGATTTGGAAGTGGGCTGTGGAGCTCTATCAGGAAGATTTACTACCGTTGAGGGCTTAATTGTGGCTATCAAAGATCAGCTTAAAGTTTGTTGATTATTTCTCATTGTATCAGATTTCAGGAGATCTTCAAATCTGAAAGATTTGTCGCTGTTTTGATTTGAACTGTTTCTTAGTGTCTCTTGTTAGATGGATTTTTCATCTTATTTTTAGGAGCAAGCAAGCTTCTTTTTGGGCGATAGTAACAGTGAAGCAGAAATTGAACAGATGTCAAAGTTTCTGGAAAATTTCGATCAAATATTACGGTTAGAAAAGAAAGTTCATTTAGTTTTAGATGATCCAACTGGTAACAGTTACATTCAGGTAAAGATTATTGTATGGAAAGGCATGTTTTTTTGTAATGATTGTATTACATGAATAGTAAAAAAAATTTTATTCAGATTTGTGTTGGAAAAAGTTAAAAACAAGGATACATATGTTTTTCCTTATTAATTTCATTATTGAAGTTTGTCCTTGCTTAAGAATTGCATAGGATGGAGCCTTCATGACCTGAGTTTAAATTGCAGAGTTTTAATGCCCCTATAAATGATAGTGGTTTAAAAAAAGAATTTTACAAACGAAGTAAAGAACAGAATGATGAATTGGGATTTAATGATATGAAGACTGAAAATTATGAACAATTAGAATCATTAAAAGAAGAAGAAAATTAAAGGTATTTTATCACGTTGGCATATATGTATTTGCATGCAAAATTACTATTATATAAATGTTTTTAATAATTGTTGGTGGTGTTGATTTTTTATATGAAAAAATATTTCTTGAATGTTATTTCCAACTATTTTGCTTATTGCATATTTTCTGTGTCAGCATAAATGGCACATTGGTTTTAACTTCATTAACTCATGTGTTAGTTGCATCAGCAATTTTCATAATATGGTTCCTTATGATAATAATTGTTGCTAATACTATTAGATTTGTTTTGGAATTTCTGAATAGATTACATAAATTTAATTTTTAACAGATGCGCTGAAAGGACACAAAAACTAACAGAATAAATCATCAATCTAATGTCGAAAATTTGATCCTAAATTCTTTTAAATGTAATAAGATGTATTCCGAATAAACATCCCCCCCAAAATTTATTTACACTGCTTTTAATGTATATACAAGTAATTTTTAAAAAATTGCAACCCCTCTTTATTAAAGTTGTTCATGTGTTGTCCGTTCATTCCTGTTCCAGTGTGTATAAGCAGGG